TTTTTTTTTTTTTTTTTTTATCCATCTCTAGCGGCGGTAAGGATGGTAATTGTTGGAGCTGGATGAGGATCCCGTGTAACCCCTTTGGGGCCCACCGCCACCGTAGTTGTCGTTGGTTCCTGGGGCAGCAGGAACGCTTCCTAGTCTCGGAGGTCCGTATTCGGTGCCTGTTAGAATCGTATAAAAGAACGTAGTACTGTGTGCCAGGACGCGGCCCAGGATTGCAGTCAGGGAGAAAATAATACAGAGTGAGTGTGTGTGGTAGGCGCGTGTAAATCTCGAGGACGAGCACGAAGGATGAACGTTGGAGGTTCGAGAGGGATGAAACGGTAGAGAAGGCAGATTTTGATAGGAAGATCCATCAATCCCTTCGACCTAATCGTGTCGGTGAAGTTTCTTAAGGTTCTCTTCAGGGGGGCACGCTGCGATGAAGGAGAATTTTTTTTTTTTTAGGTCATTGGGATAAAAATCGTATTCGTGGATTAAAGAAAGAAACGAGGTCGCGCGTTGATGGAAAAAGATCGCGAAACTCGAGATTGATTATAAATTGGAAGATGGAATTTAACGTAATTGGAAGATGATGATCGAAATGATGATGTTTGGAGATAACGATTCGTGGATGGGAAATGTTCGCAAAGCACGGAGAAATACATTTTGTATAANTATATATATATATATATATATGTATATATATATAAAAAAAAAAAAAATTGACGTATTAATATCGATATGTTTAAGATTAATCTAGGGACTAATTATTGTATAGTAGAAAGAAACAATAGAAAAAACGATCAGATCGTGCAACAAAAGAAATAAATTGTATCAAAAATGTCTCGTAACGTGCAAGTAGGAAAAGCTTATATTACGTCCTTAATCATCTTAATCGTATTAGTGCTTATCGACTAAACACCGCCGACTTAAATATACGAGATAAAACCAAAAAAGTTATAATATCCTCGTATTTTTTCTCACCTGTGATAATATCTATCTCTCTCTCTCTCTCGCTCTCTCTCTTTCTCTCTCACTTTCTCTCCCTCTCTTTCTCTCTTACAATTTTTAGTACAAAATTTATTATTTTCTTCTATATCGCGGCCTTAATAATTAGTATAAAAGTACTTAGTACTATGTATCACGAGCATCGAGCAACTTCGAGGCTAATATAGAAAGTTCACGATCGAGTTTAACCCGAGACTCTCTTGGGGGAAGGGTCTCGGTTTATTACACACACGGATACGAATTTTAGCGCGTGTTTCAGATCCGAACGGCACGTCGATACAAGAGGACGCAGTTTAATGGAATTTAATCTGTTTCTGGACTTGGGATTAAAAGATTAAATTAACATTTCGTATTGATATTCTAATTTCGAAAACAAATTGTACGTATCATTTTTTTTTTCCAAGTCCATAAAGTAAAATAAATCAAATCTACCCTAAATTTCAACTTAAAGTTTTCGCAGCATGGTAGTAGAACTTCTTAAATAAAAATATACAGACCAATTGTTACCATGATTCCAATTTTTTTTTTTTTGTATTAGATCTACATGTATAAATTAAAAAGAAAAAAAAAATATGGAAGAAAAAAAAAAGAAAAGAATATAGCATAGACGTTATAAATCTAAAAATTGTCCCGTGATAAAATTTAATATTATAAGTAACTTAATAACGGATCTAAGCGGTAGGCCTTAAGTAATCTTAATTTTTAAAAGGACGCATGCTTACACGCCGTCACTTGCACGTAACTTATATAAATCCTTAATAGATAAATCGTCTTACGGGCTATTTTCACGAATCATCGTTCGTATGAACGATCAAAAAGTGACAACTATAAAAGCAATTTTCCTTAATAATGTATCAAAACGTGGACGTGAATTGTTTCAGGCATAGGGAAGCAAAGAGGATGATGGCCACCTTTGAAAAATGTGTACGATTAAGTACAAGTTTTTTTTTTTTTTTTTTCTCATCTATCTAATCGACGCTTTCCCTTACACCTGATACCCATATTCCTCCATCACAGCGCTGCCAACCTCTCCTTTCTCTCTTTCTTCTCTATTTTCCTAAATTTTTTTTTCTTTCCTTTTTTTTTTCTTTTTTTCTTTTTTTTTTTTAAATAACCTAGATGCTTGATATCTGTGTGTCTTTGGTAGGCCGTATTCGCTATTTCTTAGCGCCTATAAGGGTGGTAATTCGTATGCTGGGTCAAGGAAAACCGTTGGGGACCTGGGGCTGCGTCTCCGTTCGGAATGAATGTCGGACTTCCAGTTTCGGTGTTTTTGAACTTTGGGATCGGGGTGTTGTCTGCGGGAAATAAAGGAGGAAATTAGGTAGTGTGGGCCGCCCCGAACACGCCTTTCTCGCCAGGCGTGAATATGTAAATTGGGGATGACGTAGCTACGCGAGAATACGAATGGAAATTTCCACGTTCTCCGCTCTGCGACAATGTGAAAGCTATCTTAACTTTTACGTACGAAGAAAGTTAAAAATTTAACTTAAAAGAAAAAAGAAATAAAAAGAAAACTATCGTGATGAATGTAAAAATACTAAAGGGGCAAATTTTTTTTTTTTTCAACTAAAATCTGAACGATAAAAAATTAATTAGCCCCTATGTATAATACCGAGAAACACCGAAATATCTCGAACCTGAGAATCTATTTTCATTTCGAAAGAACTTTTACGGCATAATAGTAGAATATACGTTTAATATATTTCTATCGAATATTTATTTTCGAGCTCAGTTTCGAGATATGGTGAATTGAAATTGAAACGTTGGGACGCGCATAAAACACTGCACCAATGAATAGCTCGTTTCTCGTAGTGGCGTCAATGGTATAAATATATATATATATAAAAAAAAAAAAAAAAAAAAAAAAAAAAAAAAAAGAATTCTTTGAAACAGTGGACCACCTCTGTAATTCCATCCTAGACAATACAATTATTTCACGTTTGCGCCCGAATCGTATCGGATAAAAAGAAAATTTTTTTTGTTTTATCAAAAAATTGAACAGAACCGAAGAGGAACCAGCAACCGAAATTTACGCAAAAATATCGAAAACGGAAATATTTTACATATTCTTTCGAGCAAATTGCAAAACAGAAGCGACAAAAAGAAAGTAGAAGGAACTAGTCTAGAATTATTGACTAATAACTGTGAGCGAACAACAAGAAGGCGTGGCTATCAAAAACAATTACGCGAAAAAAGAAACTCTCTCTTCACGCGCACTCGCATGCTCGCTTCCATTTACACATCCACTCATGCACAAAAAGATTTTTATGTGATTTTTCGATGAACTAGAAAAAAAAAAAAATTAATTCATTAAAGTTGCATACATTCCTCTTGCGCGATTTTTTTTAAAGAGAACAAATAAAAAAAAAAAAAAAAAGAAAGAAATAAATTTAATATTAATATTAAATCGTGCAGTGTTTTAAGTCTCTCAACCTTTTTGGATAAAATAAAAATCATAAAACTAATTACTTAATACGAAA